GCTGGGTGAGGTAGTGTATGCCTATAATCGTAACTTCTCGGGAGGCTGAGGTGGGAGGATTGCTTGAATCCAGGAGGTGGAGGTTGCAGCGAGCTGAGACTGCACCATTGCACACTCCAGCCTTGGTGACAGCAAGACTCAGCCTCAAAAAAAAGAAAAAAAAAGTTTTTAAATAATCTTTTCATTTCCCAAGAAACATGTTCGATTTACCACTTTCAATCCTCAGTTACATCTAACCTGCCTGTAAAACACAACGCCCTGGCATGGAGTCCACCTTTATAAAGTCTAAAAACATCCTTTACCATGAGTCCGCAACAAAAAACAACTAAAAGGTTTCTTCCCTTGTGAAACTCTGAAAAGATGTTTTGTTTCATTACAGAAAAAGCTCAAAAGAATTTGGGTCGGAGGACAAAGAAAAACATCAAATATAATTTTAAGCCCGGTTTAAACATTCTGTTTTAAATATTTAATTTTTGTTTGTTAAGGCCAGTAAAAATACGGTGGAAAGAAACCAGGTCTGTGGTTCCCAAACACCTCCGGGGCAGTAGCTCCAATTTCACCTGGGGCACTTGTTCAAAAACAGATATCCAAGCCCCACACCCAGAGACTCTGACTTGGAAAATCCAGGGTGGGGCCCAGGAATCTCTAGTATTTTAAAGTACCCCAAATAATTTCAGGATAAAACTAAATGTAGAAAACAATTACTAAGTAAATAGGCATTTAAATGCTGGTGTTTAGTCCTAATCTAGTCTGGGTATAGTCCCAAGGGTCACAAGGGCACATTTTAGAGTCCTGCTTACCGGAGGCCCTGCCTTGGAGCTCACTGAGGTCTGAGGGAAGGCCCAGTATTTTTTCGAAGGGCATTCCAGGTAAATTTGGGAAACATTAGGATGGGAAGATGCTCTTTACTTGAGGCAAACTGAGTTTTGGTCACAGCTTTACAAGAAGCTAAGTCTGTAATCCTCACAAAGACCCAGGCATCTCCTGTCCACAGTGGCACAAATCACTGCTAGGTTTTGTTGTAGCTGAAATAAAGCCCGGTACAATTAAGGTGCATTAGAAGAAGGCAAGCTCTCCCAGCAAGAACACAATTGGGCAAAGGAAATCAGTGAGTACAGCAGCACATAACGCTTTATGATGAGCTTCGCTTTGGGTGGATGATTAAAAAAAGGCTGGAATCAATACGATAAACAAAAGCTACTTAAATGTTACAGGCACTGTGATCGATGGCACCACTGACCTCATAGTTCTTCTGATCTACATTAGAAATACATAAATATATACACATAATATATATAGCAACTCTGATAAAAACCTGGAAAGAAAACAATTTAAAACTCTTTAAACCAAAACTTCTTGCTTTTACTTGAGTTAATTTAGCCATAAAGAAAATGATACAGATCTTAATTAAGAGGTTTGTAAAGTACTTAAGTTTGTCATTTTGTTGACATTTAAATGTAATTTCCTCTGAAAACTATTCTTAGGTATCAACTAACTAAACTGAACTGTTGGTTTAGATTATTGTACTACCAGATAAGATAAAATTTGAGATAATTTACTAGAGAGCAACCCAGTCATTTAGGAGTCTATGCTGTTTTAACACTTACCCCTGAGGCTGTAGGTTGTGTTGTGGGGGAAGTATTTTTGCTGCAATCATCTGAGTTAGAAGAGGTGGAAGTTGGAGTCATGGGAATGGAATTATTGCTATTACCTGCAACAGTCAAAATTAACCTTATAAATACACATATGCTCTACTGTTAAGGTTGGCAAATACTTTACAGTCAAATGTCATTTTAGTATATTTACCAGAGCAAGTCTTTGATTTATTTATGTTCTTAGGTTTTCGTTTCCTGGTTTGAATTCCCTCTTTCTTCATAGCAAGTGGTCTGGGCACCTAAAAAATTTTCACATAGGCCATAAATTTAATATTATATTGAAGAAAAATCAAAGACCCAACATTGGTACTAAAAGCCCTCATTTAAAAGAATTTGGCAGCCGGGCGCAGTGGCTCATGCCTGTAATCCCAGCACTTTCGGAGGCCGAAGCAGGTGGATCACCTGAGGTCAGGGGTTCAAAACTAGCCTGGCCAACATGGCGAAACCCTGTCTCTACTAAATATACAAAAATTAGCCAGGCACGGTGGCAGGCACCTATAATCCCAGCTACTTGGGAGGCTGAGGCAGGAGAATCACTTGAACCCAGGAGGTGGAGGTTGCAGTGAGCCGAGAGAGCACTACTACATTCCAGCCTGGGCAATAAGAGTTAGACTCCATCTCAAAACAAGAAAAAGAAACAAGAAAAAAAAAGAACTTGGCATAAATTTCAATCCAATTTTTATACACACTCAAGAGATCCCAAATGCACAAAGACTACACTTTCCTCATCAAATGCAGAGATTCCTTCAGAAAGAATGAGATGATTTGTCAAGGAGAATTTAATTCCTTCAACTTAATGTTTATTGTTTGAAATGAGTAGCTATTCATTGAATAAGAATTATTTCAAAGAGATCATGTATTTCCTTCCTCCTACAGATGCAAGGTTATTTTTCTATTTTTTAAGATTGAGGTGTTTATAATGCTTTGTGCAATCCTTTAAAATGAACTATGAAATATTTCAAACTGTAACTATTAAATGCATTATTCCTTTGCATAAATGTCTGATTACATTCAAAATTATTAAGATATATAGACCAGTGATTGTGCATTTTTGATTGATTTCCTTAATTGTGCAGTTTTAAAAATGGTTACTACCATATTACCCATTCTAAAATACACATTTTTCACACTTTCGCATTTTGAAAACTGGAATGTGTCTTAAATGAACGTTTGCAATAGTTCAATTGGTGGCATTTTTTGTCTCCTACTTGTGCATAAGATAATATTTCATATTATAATTAAAAGCACCTTCGATTCAATAAAGTAAATATGTTCAGTATGTACACTGAATATATTAAACATATTCAGTAATAAATCATATGCATTCAAATTTTTCACTTGAGTATCTTTCATTTGCTGATTTTTTGTAACTGAAATCACATACAAACCAGACACTAAATGTATATATAAGTGAGCAGAATGCATGGCATACCCCATGGAGTTTCATGTAGAGTCCACAAGCATTGCACACGGGTTCACCCTCGGCGTTTCTGCGCCATAAGGTGGTAGTTGTGGTGTGACAGTTGGCACAGGACAATCCAAGCCGCCGTGATGAAGGCTAGAAACAGTACAAGAACATAAGTGGAAAAACGTAAGTGACATATATATATATATATATATTATATGCCACATACATACATTAAGGTATTTTGTCCCTGTCATCAACAAGCATGTATCTATTTTATTATAAATGAAATGGTCCTTAAGAAAAAAAATTGCAGTGTACTTAGACTGACTTTTCTGGACCAAGAAATCTGAGGTCTGCATAGTGTGCTAGACCCTATAGATTTGATTTACTCCTCCAGCTACCCTATCTCCATGGATTCAAGAATACCAGGGAGCAGTCATATAGTTGGCCAACAACTTCATGCAAAGCTTTTACCAGCGTCCTAACAAGGAGAGTTTCACCCACGGTTTCTTCTCCAATTTAGAGTTTCCCAGATACTCCTGGTATCTTTTTTAGGGGAATTAAAAGATTTTCTAAAAGTTGGCCAAATAGAGTTATATTCAAAACACACCGGAAGTAACAACACAGGTAGACATCAACATGAGAGTGCCCCACCTCCCCCCCCGGGCCCGCCCCCTACCGTGGACAGCAGTTGGTGGTGCACTATCACAGGTCTGAGATTTAAGTCATGAAATGCAATCACAAGCCACTTGCCAATGTGCTAAATGGCTCTGGGCAGTCTCCACTTCCCCTGAAAACTGGAGATCATCAGGTCTGTTTCTCAGATATATGTAAAGGAGTAAACCAGAAACTTTGAAAGGGCCTTTGAAAGTAGATTAATGGAAACTTTGAAAGTACATTAATGGAAATGGATTTCAGAAGAGGGGTAAATGTTTTGTAAAAAAAAAAAAAAAAGAAATATCTTTGAGCACATTCCATAATTACCATCATGATTGCCTGCTGCCTGTATTTTTGTTTTATCTATTTTACAAAAGACACAAGCAAATTTTATGGCATCATCTTAATGCTGCCATTGTCTTAGATGCACTGATACTAATATTTGCCCTATCAGTATTATTCTCAACTTTTGTTCATACAAAGGGTTAATTGGTATTACCAGAAAAGGTAAAAGGCCACCTGTCTGCCACTGTCACTCCTATTTCCATGTTTTCTTTATGCCCACAACATCCTTAAAGGGAATTTATTATCTCTAGATTACTACATGTTAATTATAAAGGATGGGAGTTTAAGCTAATATAATTTCCTACCCAGAATGGCAAAATATAAAACTTGTTTTTAAGTTGCCAAGCTTAAATTTCCTTTTAAATGCTGTAAATTACTATAAAAATTGTGACACAGCTTCAGTTAAAAAAAAAAAAAAAAAATGCATGCTTGCTTCCATAGTAAAATTGGAAGGATACAGAGAAGATTAGCATGGCCCCAGCACAAGAATGACACCCAAATTCGTGAAGCTTTCCATATTAAAAAAAAAAATTAGAGAAAGATTTGGGACCAAACCAAGTTGAAAATTACAAAATTTGCGAAGTTAAGAAAAATCAATTGTAAAGAATGAAGAAGAGAAATGTAAATTGAATATGTATCGAATATTCACAGATTACAGGACAGAGACTTCCAAAATTTTTGCTGGCAAATTTAAAAGATGAAATTAAAATTTGCATTTATGATTCACATCCTGCTGCATTACTTAGCATCACTCTTTACAGATAAGTTATAAACACAAAGAGACACTGGCAAACGTTTTAGCACTACAACATTTCTAAGAAGTCAGTGCTAAGAATCAATTTGCCTTTAGTTGAAATGAGTATGGCTTGGCTCACAGGAGAGCTACCTGGGAAACTGCTTTGCTAAAATCACGACAACATATTAACAACACTTTACACATCCAGGCTTTTCTTTTTTCTTTGTGGTTAAAAGAAAATAATTTTTTAGGAAAGGATCCCTTTTTCTTCATAAATGTGAAATCAGTAAACGAGGGACAGGAAGGTTCACTTTATAAACCAGTCATTTATGACAGTTTCCAGTGGAATTTGGAGCCAATGTGAAGCAAACTTGTTATCAGAATTTGCCATTATAACAAAGGACTTTATGACTGTCAACTGCAGATCATAAGTGAAGCCAGTCCTCATAAACATGTGAAATGCAGGTGAATGGGTTATAAAAGTTCCTTGTAACAAGCGATCTCAGTCATATTCCTCACTGACAAGGAATTCAAGTTACACCATAAATCTCTTACTTTGCAATGTATTGCAAGTTCAGATTCACAGTGATTGGTTCTATACTGCTGGCTAAACAAACTTGAGTTCAACATTCTGTTTCTGAGAACTAAGCCAGATCCATCAAAACCATAAATAAGAAGCCCACAAGGAGACCACATTGATAGTGACACACCCTTCAATTGGTATCATTTATAACCCATTTACAAAGCATATTTGCTGACCTTGGTTATGGCCAAGACACCTGCTAAGCACAAAGAAAATTAATTGATTCAGAAATGCTAAAAACTGTTCTTTTTTTTTTTTCCTTCTAAGTTATTTTTACTGGTACATGCACAAAACAAATGGCACTATCTAAATATGTTACTAGATCAAATTTATAATGCAACTGGAACCTAAATGGCTACTCTTCCACCAAATTTTTGCTCAATCTCTAGAAAATGTTACCTTTGAGAGTTCAGTTAGTACACAGCTCAATGTGCCTTTCCAGAAAAATAAATCAGTTTCATTGTTCATGTGTTGTCTATTATATGAAAACAAGGAACTTCTGTGGGATATTTTCCACTTACTACTTTTTCTTCTTTAGTATAATGCATTTAAGAAAAAATGAAACCCACAGAGAGTCACACACTACAGTTAAAATTTCTTTAAAGAAAATTTTAAGCTGTGGGAGGTTGTAACGAGTGTAAGGCATATACATTCATTAAATTAACCTCGGCCACTTTATTTTAAATGCATTAAAACAAAACCAACCATAAAACTAATTGCTTCTCTTTAAGGCGTCAGACTTATATTGTGATGCAATTTCACTCTAATCTATTTAACACAAACAACATGTGTAGCATTTGTTCCTGCTAATTAGAGTATAACAAATAAATTACTGGGATACTTAAGACGTCTGGCATCTAACTGTAACATATTTAGCTTTAAAGGGTTATTAGATTATGAGTACTTCGCTAAACAAATGTTAGCCTTACAATGGGGCTGGTGAAAGCTTTCCTTTATTTTCTCTAACCATTACAGCGGTAAATACTCTCTCTGGCTAAGAAGCACACATAACAATGACAATACAAGACTAATCCCTGAAATCAGGATTCCCTTTCTTTAAAACATAGTGGCCGGTAATCCCAGCACTTCGGGAGGCGGGCAGATCACCTGAAGTCGGGAGTTCGAGACCAGCCTGACTACATGGAGAAACCCTGTCTCTACTAAAAATACAAAAAAATTAGCTGGGCGTGGTGGCGCATGCCTGTAATCCCAGCTACTCGGGAGGCTGAGGCAGGAGAATCCCTTGAACCGTGGAGGCGGAGGCTGCGGTGAGCCAAGATCACGCCATTGCACTCCAGCCTGGACAACAAGAGTGAAACTCCGTCTCAAAAATAAATAAATAGATAAAAACTACAACGTGTGCGAATTGGTGAAAACGCTCAACTTAAGAACATACAAACCACACGTTTTCTCAAGTTCTACAAGGTTCTCTGATTTCGAAATAACAAAAGTTAGAGCAAATAAATTTTCATCAGGTTCAAGGGCAATCCAAGATATGGAATTTGGGGATACACCTGAGGATAAGAGGTAGAAGTGACCAAGAAGGTGGAAAGGACAAAGTAAAAGGCACCCAAAAGAATATGGCTGTGAGGAGGCGAGAGGGTGGGTGGATTTCTGGCATATTCTATTCGGGGGTGGATGGTATAAGTGAGCATGGTTTTTCAAGGATAAAATCTCAACCATACCCAGTGAAAAAAGTCTTCCTTCGTGCAGCCTCGGTAGGTCTGTTTTTCCCCTCGGGTTACCATCACCAATTTTTTGCCTATCTTACTAGAATTATTACAGTGCTTTGGCAAGTACACCTAGAGATATATAGATTTTTTCTTTCTTTCTTTGCTTGAAACATGGTAACATTTTTCACCTTCCTTTTTTGTTTGTTTTTGTTTTTGTCATTTAGGAACGTCATTCCCTGCGCATAAATATGGGGAAAGGCTATCTTGGCTTCCCAGACGCCGGTTTCGGGGTAACCTCTGCTTGGGCGCCAGCGGGTGGGCGTTGGAACAGCCGGGACAGGATGGTACCGCTGGGT